GGCGGCAGGGAGCCAGTCTGTGAGGGGAGCTGGTTTGTAAACTGGCTCCCCGTGTGGACCAGCCCCCACCTGGCACCCCGCACTGCTGCCTCTGATACAGATGCAGCAGCACAGAGTGACAGGGGCTCCTCGGGAATGGAGCCGGAGCACACTGGCTGCCAGCTCCTCCCCTGGAGACTACAGAATAGTCAAGTAACCGATAAGAAATCATGAGGTTAATCGACTATTCAATTAATTGATATTTCAAATCCCTACCCAAAGCATCCACAATGCAGGAGACTATGGAAATGCAGCAGTCCCAGGGACTATGCCAGGCCCAGAGTCCCAGTTCCCCTGGACCTTCTTGGAAAGCTCAGCATGTTCCTCTAACCTTGGCCAGGCTGGCTTCACAGCCCTCCCACACCCTGACTCCTGGCTGCGGGCGTCAGACTCACCCTCCGGAGTAGGAGTTCTGGGACACCAGGGTGTGGTGGCCGTTGTACATGTCGAGGGTGCGCAGGTCCTGCAGGTGGTGGTTGGACTCGGCCAGGCTGCGCACAGAGGGGGCCCGGGTGCTGCGCTCCATCATGCCCCCGTAGGAGCTCCCCACAACTGGCGGTGGAGCTGGGAGGCTGCCGAAGGAGCCGGAGCTGAGGCGGGAGCGGTTGTTGCTCTGGAAGCGCTGAAGGGTGCGCATGGCGGGCGCACGGATGGTCCGGTTCTGAGGCACCTCCACGCTGTCCATCCAGTCACCGGGCCCCTGGGTCCCAGCATTGGAGCCGGCACTCATCTGCCTCTCGAAGGTGTAGGATCTGGTGAAGCTGCCGTTGTTTCTGCCTCTGTAGAGGGTCCCCGGGTCCAGCTTCTCAGAGACTATGCTGTAGCGGTCGTCCATGCCTGTAGAGGGCCCTCCCCCGTCCGTCAGGCGCATCGAATGCAACGACATGGTGTCGAAGTTCGGCCGGGCTTGGTAGTGCCGCTCGTGGAAGGAACAGGGCCGGGAAGAGGCGCTGGCAGCCTGCGAGAGGGTGTGATTCATGCGGTAGGCGGAGCCCGGGGGCACACCCCCATTGCTGATGGTGGCCATCCTCTTGTGAGGACCGAGGTCCACCGTGGAGCGGGAGGACCAGCTGGTGGACTTGAGGCTGTTGTACCCATTCTTGGCAGGTGGCTGGTACAGCTGGGGGAGAGGAGAAATGGGTCAGGGATGTCTCCTTTTGACAGGAAACACAGGGCACGTCCTGCAGACATCTGGCCCATCAACCTGGGGGGGGGACTTCCCCCCCCCCACACCCCAGGAAGAGGGATCCTGCAGGCTCAACAGTGCCTATATGGCCCTGGCAAAGGCTAGCAAGTGGGCAGTTGTCAGATGTCCTCGTCTGGAGATGCTGAGTTAGACAGGTCTACGGGGTCTCACCACTGGGCCTGCAGACCTTTTAGCGCTGGAGGGGATGCGTGGAAGGGAACCAGCCCAGCATGACTCTCAGATCCTAGTTGGGTTTAAAAGCACCCTTTGACGTGGAGGCTCTGAGACAGCGAGAAACCCTGGCCTTGGCCAATGGGAGTTCTGCCATTCATGTTGGTACAGCCAGGATTTCACCCACTGACCGGGGGCCTGCTGGAGCCTGCTATAGCACTGGGCTACGCTAGAGTGCCTGAGTGCCAGGTGTTCCTACTGCCCCCCCTAGAGAACCTCGCCCCCTTGTCTTCCCCCCAGTGGCGCCTGGGGGAAATGTGCCCCCCTCCATCATGATCAGGACCAAGAACTTCCCCACACCTGGCTTGCAACACCCCCCCC